AAAAACGATTAATCGATTATTAAATTAGTCATCGATTATTTTAATAATTGATTCATCGTGGCAGCCCTACTCTGGATGTATTTTTACAAGAGGACAGATTTGACTACAAACAGCACTGACATGTAGCTACAGTACAGTCATAAGCTACAATGACAAGCAATGGTGCACTGATTCACACGAGTGTTGTRTTTTGTTGCCCATTGTGTACTGTTGTTTGAGGTGCTCATACATTGTGTCAAAGYTGASTTGTTTGAAGGCAGMGTTTGCTTTTGTYCCATATTTTAAATGTTTTGACACAGTTGTTTCTTTTTGCAAACAAAATGTGTCGTTGTGACCAGTGTGTCACTGTTTAGGCCTCCGACTTAACTGTTTTTAAAATGTGTTTTTGAGTTGATGGCTGCGTCACACCAGTCAATGGAAACTGTAAATTAACAGGATCTTAATCCAATCGAGTCTGAAAGATAAACCTGACATTTAGCAGATAAAAGCAACATTTTATCACAACTTTCTGCTCTTCTTAAACTGTGAGACAGCCTCCATCTTTAACTCTTGATCTGTTTAAAGATTAAAGAAAACTAGAGAAATTACATTGTTTACAAAAACACAGCTGAAAGAAGTGCTGACGCAGCACAATGCTAGCTACATGCTAACAAAACACTACATATAAGCTAAGCAGCAGAAAGGATAACTACAAGCAGCATTAGCCTAGCTGAACGTAGCTGCAGAGTATGACTGAGTGAAAAACGTAGCAGGAAGTGTTTCAGATCAGCTGATTGATAATTATTGATTAGTGTTTTGATTGATCTGTTTAAAACAAGGATCTGATTGATCAGTTAAGAGCAGCTAATGGCTAAATGTGCCAGAATGGCAGCCGAAAGCAGCAAAAGTTCACTGGAAGCTAAATAACAAAGCAGTAGTTAAAAACAAGAAAAAACTAGCTAAAGATTAAAGGTTGCAGAAAAGCAGCTAAAAGTATCCTAATGTAAGAAACAGCAGCTGAAACTGAAGAAATCTTAAAAGGTTTTTAGTAAATATTTAATTTAAACACTAGACAAGCTACAAAAGTAAAAGTCCTAGCAGCTAAGCAGCTGAAAAAACAAAGCAGGAGTTTGTCTGTAGAAACAAAAGAAGTGAAGAGCGTGACGCTGACTCAGCGCTTAGATCAGCTCTTTCTTCAGTGGATCGTTGAGGATCCACGAGTCTGAACACATGTTTAACCTGTTAGCTTCCTGTGAGCTTCCTGTTAGCTTCCTGTGAGCTTCCTGTGAGCAGCTGTCACTGTTTAACCAGCTCAAATTAAATATTTGAGGAGCACGAGGCTCAACAGCTCAGCTGACTGCAGTAAAACCAGCAGGATAACGAGACGTGTTTCCATCAACACCACAAAATGAGAACGTGGAGCAAACTTTAACATATCGTAAAAAAAGAGAGAAAATATAAACGTCGATTAGTTTCTATCTACTGGTTTGGAGTGAATGAACCAGTCTACACACAGTGCTGTTGTCAGACGGCTGTAGAAACCAGCAGGAACACGTCTCAGGATGATGGACAGGAGTCTTCAGGAATGTGTTGCTGTCACTTATTGTTGTCGTATCAACTATTGGTGAGGTTGTGTTGTCCTGAGACGTGAAGAAATGGATCAGTACAGATATTTAACATTTATTTTATCAACTTGTCTTCTGAAGATGCTCTGTGTTGAAGGATCAGTGGATCTGTGTTCGACTACTCCACCTAGGCTGAGAAACTTGCTGTTTCAGCAACATTTCATTTAAAAACTGGACTTTAGACGTTAAACAAATGTTCAGAATTAATTTCAGGATTAAGAGCATGGACATTTCTGTTTTTTGTATCGATAAAATATCAAACCTTCAGACTAATTATCAAAGCAAACCGGTGAGTTTCTGTACCAGTGCACACAGTCACAACTTAAATGTTTCCCTTTTTGTGCGTTAACTCTTCTTCAGTGTTGTATAAAGTACCTCAAAGTGATACTTGAGTAAAAGAACAAGTATCTTATCATAAAAATACTTTGGTAAAAGTTAAAGTCTTBTCTAAAAATATTACTTGAGTAAAAGTCTTAAAGTATCTGATATTTTTTGTACTTAAGTATCAAAAGTAAATTTCTGACACAAAATCTACTTAAGTATTAAAAGTAAAGGAATGTGTAAAAGTGAGCAGTTAGATTTTCCAAAATGACATTTATTGGGAGGTGACTTCTCCAAAAACTATATTTTCTAACAGCGTGCAGCTGTGATGGGTTGTGTACAAGCTAATAGTGTGTCAGAATGGTATATATTTATACTTCTCATCCAAACACAATTAAATTCACTCTATAGGAGACACAGTTTATCAGGAGAGGATTTTATTAAGTATTAATAACTACTAATAAAGAGTAACGACTTTCTACTTCTTACCTTTTTTTAAAAAGTACATATAATTCTGTAAAAATGTGAGTAAAAGCAAAAAGTACGCTGAAAAATATTTACTCAAGTAAAGTACAGATGACCAAAATTTCTACAGTAACAAAGTATTTGTACTTAGTTACTTTACAGCTCTGCTCTTCCTCTAAACCTTTCTGTCAAACTGAGGAGGTCTTCTTGAGTTTGACTGTTTCCATCAGTCTTTTCTGACGTGCTGATGGAAACACTGCTGCAGGTGTCRTGAGGACGTGTCAGGATCAGGTGTGAGCTGCAGACAGGTGTGTGTGCACCAACATCCAGGTATTACTTCAGAGTAAAGCCTGAAGCTCACAGGTGACAGCAGCAGCAGAAACTCACCTATGACTTCACCTGTCATGAACAGGAAGTAGAGCAGAGCAGCGATGACCAGCCTCTTCATCACCCTGCGGTGCCTCATCCTCTCCCTCCTCCGGATGCAGGTCTCACACGGGTCCATGTTGGTACCGGGCAGACCGGCGGTCGGGTCCAGCAGGGAGTCGTCGTCGTCCTCCTCTGCGGACACCAGCACCGTGTTGACCGGCGCTCCGTTGGACGGAGCCCCGGCCGAGTAGTCCGACATGTCCCCGGAGACCACCACCTTCAGCTGGTTGAACTTCGGGCCGTCGTCGTCCTCCAGCTCGGCGGAGAGGTCGAAGGGCGCCGTGTCGCTCAGGTCCCAGTCGGTCCGGTCCCTCCTGAAGGCGGACCGAACCTTTCCGAACAGCTTCCCGCCTGACATGGTAGCTTGTTTCCGCCCAGGAGCTCCGTGTGGAGAAGCCCTCAGGTGATCATTGAGGCCAGGCAGCGTGGTGACGCTGACAGACAGGAAGTGATAAAAACACACAGCGTTCAGATCAGCACTTTCAGAACCGGCTCACGGGTCTGGTCCAGGTTCGGACTCGACGAGAAGGAGAAACTTTGAGTCCAACACTGATCAAAACAAACCTTTTGGCTAATCAGTAACATGTTAGCTAGCAGCAGCGAGCCGGGCTTCTCCGTCACTTTCAGACTAACTTCCTGCTTTTAGCGCCGTCATTTATTCAAAGACATAAAACCAAACTCACCCACAGGTTTATCTTCTTATTCCGCTGTCAGACTGACGGATGTCATGCTCAAACCCGAGGAGGAAACACAGAAACAACAGGAGCGTCCGTCCCGGACTGCTACTAAAGATCACCGGGCACGAAGGGCGGAAGTTGTAGATCAGACAGGAGGCGCGCCCCCTGCCGGCCGGAAGTAGTATGACGTTCAGGTCAACAACAACAACGAAACTGGCTTTGTTCAAGGCCAGCTCTCATCTCATCTGTCTGTTTTATGTTCAGATGCTTCTTTTATACGGAGCCAGGCAAAGGTCAGCAGGTTGTAAACAGAGTGCATGGTTTATAATCCGTGTGCACAGATTGTAAACAAAGCACATGGTTTATAATCCGTGTGCACAGATTGTAAACAAAGCACATGGTTTATAATCCGTGTGCACAGATTGTAAATTGCACAGATTTCCACCGGCTGATTGTTTTTCACACACTGATCCTCGCTCGGCTCCGTAATTTAAAAATGTTTTGTTGTAGTTTTTGTTTGATGATGTGTGAAGAGTGGGCGGGGCTTACAATCCCTTATAAACAAAAAATGTCAAATAAATAAATTGTGTTATTATGATTTACAATCTTTGTACAAACGCTATTGTCAAAATTTATCCGTGCAAAAACATAAATATTATTTATAAACATAAATGTCATAAAATACAGAGGTGATGTTGAAAGTACAAATTTTGCAGTAATTAAACTTATATTAAGATAAAAAGTGATAAAAATATTTTTCATTACGTTTTTTCCCCTCGAATATAATATAGAGCTTTACAGCATTTTTCTTTTTCAACGAAACATTGCAGAAAAATAATGAGTTCTGAGTTTCAGTTGAGCTTTTTGTTTTTCTGTAAGATAATTTTACAAAAACAACGAATTCTTCAGAATGTATAAAGAACATCATCTTTTATTAAACGTAAAACAAATTCTCTCACAAGACAGAAAATCTCCAGTGTTGACAAGAGGCGGCGATGACGTAATCACGTGACAACCCACGGATCACATGACGCTGCATCACGCGCTACAACAGGAAGAAAATAACCTGTCGGCTGATTTCCTGTCGTCGTTTTCAGGTGAACGATCGGAGCTGCAGCTGGTGTTCAGCAGGTGGATGATCAGGTTAACAGACTGTAGAGCTGCGGGATCATTCACAGCTGAAATCTGTCGGGGAGTAGCTCAGGAAGCTAACAGCTAACCTGACTGCAGCTTTAAGAGAAGCTAACCGCTAACCTGACTGCATCTATAGCAGAAGCTAACAGCTAACCTACCTGCAGCTACAGGCTAAGCTAACAGCTAACCTACATGCAGCTACAGAAGAAGCTAACAGCTAACCTGACTGCAGCTACAGGATAAGCTAACAGTTAACCTACCTGCAGCTACAGAAGAAGCTAACAGCTAACCTACCTGCAGCTACAGAAGAAGCTAAAAGCTAACCTACCTGCAGCTACAGGCTAAGCTAACAGCTAACCTGAGTGGGACAAGCACTCTGGGTCTCCTTCAGATGGAGGTAGAGGAGATGGAAGATGAAGGACCTTCGTCTCAGAACCAAACCTCAGGTTTGTGTCTGCTTCAGGTCTGTGGGTCAGGTTCTGGTTCTGGTTCCAGCTCCTGATGACTTTATTATTTATTTATCTGACAGATGTGCAGCAGCAGCAGTTTCTGCAGAACTCTGCCTCTGATCAGAACCTGTGTGTGGATAAAAAGTCTGTGGACAAACTGACTGAAGGATTCCTGTCTCACTACCTGCCGGACCTGCAGAACTCCAAACGGGCCCTTCAGGAGCTGACGTGAGTTTTTGGTTCCTCAGGTTCTGTCTCCAGCTGTCGTGTTGGTAAAGTTTACTTTGTTTGTTTATTTGTTTGTTTGTTTTTGTCCTGATCAGACAGAACCAGCTGATCCTGTTGGACACTCTGGATCAGGAGGTCACCAAGTTCAGAGAATCTAACGCCATTCTGGACCTGAACTCTCTGGTTTGTTCCAACTAATCTGATGTAGGTTCTGCTGCAGCGAGCCGGAACCAGAACCAGAACTCACCGGGTCTGTTCTGCTCAGTTCACAGAAGCCAAAGTTTATCACAACAAGCTGGTGACCATCAGGAAGGAGATGATTCTGCTCCACGAGAAGACCACCAAACTAAAGGTAGGAGGGAAACCCGCCGGGACGGAACCAGAACCATCCAGACCTGATCCAGAACCATCTGACCTGATACAGAACCATCTGACCTGATACAGAACCATCCTGACCTGATCCAGAACCATCTGACCTGATCCGGAACCATCTGACCTGATCCGGAACCATCTGACCTGATCCGGAACCACTCTGACCTGATCCAGAACCACTCTGACCTGATCCAGAACCATCTGACCTGATCCAGAACCACCTGACCTGATCCAGAACCATCCTGACCTGATCCAGAACCATCCTGACCTGATCCAGAACCATCTGACCTGATCCAGAACCATCCTGACCTGATCCAGAGCCACTCTGACCTGATCCAGAACCACTCTGACCTGATCCAGAACCATCTGACCTGATCCAGAGCCACTCTGACCTGATCCAGAGCCACTCTGACCTGATCCAGAGCCACTCTGACCTGATCCAGAGCCACTCTGACC